TTAAAAAATTCCTTCAACACTTTTCGAAATTCATTTATTTTAATATCTATTTTTCTCGAAACAGCTCGAAAGAAAAAAAAACTACCAAACTCAAGATATCCAGTAGAATAGAAAAGAAAGATAAGATGGATTGGATGGAAGCGATACTGTAAGATAATAATAAGTATGATAATACTGTAAGATGATAATAATTAACCTTTGCAATCCTCAAAGCTACCATCCATTTGTGAAATGTTAACGCATCTTCAGTACAAACATATTTGATATATTTTGATGCTTTCACTTGAATTTTCGGATGCTAAAATTGTCACTAAGAATCGCTGAGATCATTGATATCGTCAATTTGGTGACAGTAAAATATAAATGAGTTAATTTTGTAAATGAGATGCAATTAGAATTAGAGAACTGAAAATCACTCAGAAATATCAATCCCATCTCATTAAGATATATGTGGAAAGAATTGAATACAAGAAAAACTAATTAATGAAAATAATTGAATCAAGTTGAAACAGTTAATTAAAAAATTTTATCATCCAATGTTCGGTAAATCAAAAAAATTGCTTATTCTAACATTATCATTATCATCAAAATTTTTGGACAAATAAAAATTCCAAATTTACTTTAGTATATTATTTAAATTTAAATTTGAATTAAATTTTTTAAATTAAATTTTAAAAGGAATAAAATAGTTTCCAAAGTATTGACATACTTTAATAGCAAAACCATAACTGGACGGTGCTTTATATTTCTTCTTCCAATCGGTAGCTGTATAAACTTGATTAGTTTGCATATTCATCAAACATTGCAAATCCTTCGAATTACGACTTTTACCCTTTGGACAATAATAGAGACCAGATAAGCGAAGCACGAAGAAATGTTTCTTCCATGATTTCTTACCATCTGATTTTAGAAATAACCAACCTTCTGTTTCCGGTGGTTGTACATTATCTCCTTCAAAAAATTCCTGAAATACGGAATACGGTAAGATGATAACATCCTATTAAATCAATCATTTATTAACTGTAACATGAATTATTAATTACGAATCACTAATTACGTCAATTGAATCATTAATTATGCGAATAAATTATCATTTGAAAACAAATAGAATATTTCCTTCTGTCTTTTTTCAAGTTTCGAAATTAAATTTCCAGAGATCAATGAGTGATATTTCATCGTTTTCAAAAGGTCATTAATATCAACTGATAACCGCACAAATTATCAAGAAGTAAGCATAACTAAGCATGATCTTACCTATAATTTGTAATAAAACCTTACCTTTACCTATACTCTACAATCAATAACATACAAATGTTGATAGTTACAGATGGTCAGTTGTGGTCAGATTCAAAAATATTACTTTTAAAATGATTATTATCTTGCTTATAAGATTATTTATTTAAGAAATTGAGACTTAATTGACATACCTATGCTTTAAATATTACTTTTCAAAGTGTACTGATAAAGTACATTGAAATACAATCATATCGAATTAGCGCAAATCATATATTACCGTAATTATACCTAACTTGAATTAGGAGAAATTAAATATTTCAATAATTATTTTCAATTATGATAATATGCGGGGGAATAACATCTCAGTTCTGTTCATTTCATTTCTTCTGGTGTTTTTTTTTTTTTGCCTCTCCTCCTCAATCTCCCAAATGAAGTACTCAGATAATTTAAAGATAAAAAACTTACCCTAATTACATGTCTTTTCGTATTTGGTGACGGTGGACCATGTACCAATGTATCGATGTTTTTCTGGGTTACAAGGAATTCTTCCGGTCGATCCAGAAATGAATATTTATCCAAACGTCGTGTAAAATATAATTTATTCTGAGAATTTAATGTCCACATCATAATATTTTCCACTAAATATTCATGATCCTCATAGATTCGTTCTGGAATAACATAAACAAAATGCTATACTTCCGGAAATGTGACATGACGGGAGAATAATAAATGAAAAGTAAACAAAACATTAACTTGTTTACTTTTTATTGTCATTTTTTAAAAGTATTAAAGTATGCAATAAATAAAATAAATTGATTTTTGTAATAATTTAGCTCCTACATTATATTCATATCAAGTGTTAACTTATCTCTTATCTAATCATATTTAAATTAATTTATATCGATCCATATTCATTAGCTAGTAAAATGGTTCAGTTTTGATATTCAAATATACGATATTAATTAATTTAGAAAAACTAGACTAATAAGTAATTATAAAATAAAAGTAAAAAGAAAAATTATGAAGTGATAATCTTATCACGGAGAATTTAGGAGAAAAATAAAGTTAATAAATTATAATATATTGATAACACTTTAACTACTTATCAGTTAATATATATTACTATGCAATTAATGAACTGATAAACAATTACTGTTTCAAGGTAAGAAAAAAGTTACTGATATAAAGGTCAGGATACTCTTCGACGATAGCATGATGATCACTTAATGGGACATTCAATTTGGAAGCAATTTGACGAATACATTCAGCAACTGTCCACCTTTCATCAATTAGTATAGAAATAGTTGATGAACCATCATCGATGAAAAATTTCACATAAATTTTTTTAATATCTGCTTCACGCATCTTCTCAAGCGCTTCTCGAATCTTTGCTGCTTTTATCTCATTAGCAGTAAGTGGTCGATTAGGTTGTTGTTGTTGTTGTTGTTGTTGTTGTGATGATGGTTGTTGTTGATGATGATGGTGATGATGATGATGATGATGAAGTTGAGAAGATTCCAAAGCAGAAGAAGTTGTGGATTGATTTGGAGAAGCCTGGAATTATCATCGTGATACAAATGAACAGGTAAGATAAATAATGAGTAAATAAATTAATGAGTGAGCAATTGGAAGAAAAATTCTGCTTTCAAAATAAATAATTATTATGATATTTGCATATATCAAAGTTTAAAAGATGGAACTTAATGTAAATGAAATGAATATTTCAATAAAATTATAAAACAATTATTGATATTTTTATTAAATAAATTAAAAAAGTTTATCTGGTTTAATCAACATTTGTTTAATTGGCAATTAAAAATCGTAATTAACAATCATTCTAATTAGTAATTGTTACTTGTAAACTTCTCAATCTGTTTCTGATCCTTTTTTGGGAAATAAAATGACCTTTTCATGACAATAAGAAAATAATTATAATCAAGAAATGGAGACAAAAAAAGATTTGTCAAATTATTTGATGACCTTATCTCAAAGATAATATAACAAGATGAAATGTTAGAAAAATTAAATTATTCACATTATTAAATTAGCATAATTAATAAAGGATTGAGAAACTTTTTTGAAAAAACAGACTTCACAAAGTATAAACTATTTGCCTAAGCCTTAACCTTACAAAAGATCTTTTATTATTTGATTGTGATATTTGTTTGTGGATAATAAATTGCTAAAATTCGTTGTGAAAAGAATTCGCTTTTAGCTGAAATCCAATTAATAGCTATGCTATAACAGTTACTCATCACATTCAAATGTCATATTCTGCTTCTTAATTAATCCAATAATTAAGATCAAAGATGGATGAATTAAAATTTTAATAAAACAGAAGGAAATGAAAAAATAGAAAAGTCATAAAATTTAGATAAGCTAGAAAATGAAAAATTTAATTTTCAAAGAGATATATTTGATCAAATTGCTCATTATTAGCTAATAAACATATCTTATTTAAAAAAAAATTTAATCAATGGTCAATTTTCACTACAGTGAAATTTACATTTCATAATATTTTAATTTAGAAATGAAAATTGAAATTAATAAAAGTAACAACATACCATAGAGATGAATGAAGGAGTATTGGCTATTATTGTGGTCAGTTGTGGAGTGGAAGTTTTTGCAAATGCTAATGACCGTTAAAAATGGGTTATGTAAAAAAAAAAAAAAAAGGAAAGAGAAAGAAAATTTTTACAATAAATGTCTATTTGCTTTTCCTTCTAGGCTTCTAAATGTGAATCATTTTGTACAATAATCATACAAAAATTCAAATGTTTCCTTTTTATTCCATTGAAAATTATCACATCCTTTCTAATTTTTTTTTCTCTCTTCTATTTGTAATAACTTTTAGAATTAATATGCTAATTATAATGTAGAGAAAATCCGGAAAAATCCGGAAATTATAAAATTATCCGGAAATTGATTGATCATTTAATAAGAAAGGAAAAGTATTTCTTATCAAAAAAAAATTATCTCTCATCTATAGTAATTTAATTTATGTATTTATTGAAGAATTAGAAAACGAATCAAACAAATAAGCTTAATGGTCATTCAATTTTTATTTGATGAAGTTAATAAAAATTTTCAAATGATATTTGTTAAAGAGTGGACAAAGAAAGAAAAAGTGGACAAGTAAATGGACAAGTACTTTATAGCATTTGTTGTGCAACAATGATTTTTTAGAAGAGTATGTAGTTAGAAAGAATAAATAAGAAAGAAAATTCCCTTTCTTTTTTTTTTTCTTTTTTTTTTTTGCAAAAATTCTTTGTGAGAAATGAACAAATAGATAGTATGAACAAGGGAAAAAGATTTCGTATATGTTTGGGATAAGTATTAATGATGATGACTCATACTCATTTTCTTTTCTTTTCTTCATCCGGTTTCACAAATCGGAAATTACAATACCTTCCTTTTAATGAAAGGATGTTAGGAAAATTTGCATAATATGATTTATTTACTAATATTTGAAATAATCAATATCCGTATTTGATCACATTCTTTCCGTTATGGATTATATTTCTATATTAAGAGCAATGATTTATCATTTATCACATTATCATTTGTTATTTACTAAATTGGACTATAAATAAATGAGGCTATTTATTAAATAATTAAGCTATCTGTTAATTAAATATTTTTATTAAATTATTTAATTAATAAGGCTATTTATTAATCTATTTGTTTAATAAATAGGATTGTTTATTAAATAAATAAAGCTATTTGTCAAGGCTAATAAATGCCTCATTTTATGCTTTCCAAAGTAGTGAGTAATTTTAAATGTATTCATATCAGGCTTATAAATTTTAATCAAAAATTTAAAAATTAGAAAATAAATGATATATTGTGAGAAATTAAAAAAGCTATATATAAAGATGTTCGAATTCAAACCTAAAAAAAAGTTAAAATAAAAATCTATTGAATATCATATATTTGAAGTTAGCCAAAATAGCAAAATGAAGAATGCGAAAATCTCGCCAAATTTCATCAAGATTTCTCGGATACAGGAGTTTTAGAATTTCTCGGATACAGGAGTTTTAGGATTTTTCGGATACAGGAGCTTTAGGATTTCTCGGATACAGGAGTTTCAGGAAAATAATCAATATGTTGACAGAAATTATGAAAATTATATGTTAAAAAATGTTCAACTTAAGGTAAAAATTTCTCGAACATAGCATCATTTAGTAAACTTTAAAAAATAAATAAATAAATAAAGATACAAATCTGATAAATGTTATTCATGTAAAGTTAGCAAAAAAAAAAAGAGTAAGGAAAATGAAGGAT